TGAAGGCAACCGCCTTAAGGTTGAAAAACACAATTTCAACCTGAACGGCTTCAGCTGGGATAAGACCCAAAGCTGCGAGGTCATTGATCTGTATGACGTTATTGTAGATGGATACTTGTTTAAGCCATACAAGGGACAAACATCGGCACAGATTTTGCAATGCTTGCGGGACATTCCTATGGCAAACGTCTCATAATCTTGGGATATCAGGACAGGCACGTTTGAGGTGCACTAGAAGAGACGTGATTTCTGTATCCCTCTTCTTACAGTTAAATATACTTAGACGTGGGCAAAACATGGAAATTAGGAGGCCGGGCGGACGCCCAACATGTAGTTGGGTCGACACCCTACAGCTAACTCTATAATAAAAATCAAAACGCTTATGTCAAATAGCTAAGAAACACGTCCTGTAGACGGAGTGAGATTCTATGTTGTCGTTGCAGAAAATAAATCTTACTGGTAGGTGCCTGATGTTTAAAAATCCGTTAGAAAAGGCCACTTTTGCATAGATATTTAAAAAGAAGAGGGGTTTTAGCTGATTTTTTAGTCAATTTTCACGATGAGAAGAACCATATATCAAATAAGTAATTAGTTCAATGCGTTAGGGGGTTAAAAAGAAGTGTTCTTGCAAGATTTATATAAGCCAGCCACGCAAATCGTGCGTCCTTATTTTACATGTCCGATGGTCCGTCGCGTGTTTTAGTGCAAAGATTATTTTTTTACTGCTTAAGTTGAGGGCTAAGCTGGCAGGTGACAACGAAAGCTCCACCGTATTAAAATAGTGAAGTTGATTTTTAGCTTTATTTTTACAATTGCGCGAAAACTTCCAAAAAAAAAAATACCTAGTGTGCAGTGCTGATGAGTACGTGTACAAATGTGGATGGTTCCTCGCTTAAGTCCAGCTTTCATTGTTGCCTGAGAGATCCTGCTACTCACCTTCTTACACTACACACTTTGGCACTACCTACATTTTTATCCATCTTAGATGTGAAACCATTCAGAAATAAGGCGAAAAGAGTGAGGGTGTAAGTGATGGCCCGTCTAACGAAGGATGGCAAGGCTAACGATTTCGAGACTCGAGAGCGGCAGATCAACGAAGACCATGGCCCCCACCCTACTCTCGGCATTAGAACCTCTCATCAAGCTCAACCGAGGTGCTCGGTTTGAGGGAGACGTCTTCTCTGTGTTGCTCGCCGACCCCCAAGTCGTGCGATCTTTCGAATTTGGTGCCGTGGACGGTGCCCTCGACTGTGCACCTCTGGACGATACAAGCGCAAGCTACTCGGAGCGGCTGTGGCGACTCAACAATGCCGCGCGGAGGGACCCAGGTTCCCAATGCCTCATCCCTTTCGATGTGAAGAACACGACCGCGTCAGTCGCTGGAGAGCAGATCTGTATTGGACCCCGAACTCAGCAGGCCACTGCCGCTTTTCACATCCTCACCTACGCTGTTGATCCTCGTTTCGTGGATGTGATCCCCAACATACGCGGAGACGATCGGTCCGATGGCGACGTGGCAGGCTCCGTTTCCGTCAATCGTTCGAAGAAGCTCCACGTCGAGGGCTCGACATACGGTTTCCTCGACCCCTACAACGCTCCCTATCGTGTTCCGCTCGCTCTGCTGCACGAGTCGCTCCGCCGCATACGCCGATGCTTCCTCGACAACGAGGATTACGTGAACCCGTGGACCCTGGTGTCCTTCGCCGGGTGGAGGCCAATGGTGATTCGATCGATGGACTGCCTCCTACCCTCCGAGAGCACAGAGCACTTCTCCGCGTACTTGGGGGTCATGGACATGCTCAGGTGCGTGCGCAACGCCGCCCTGACGCGAGACCCGCCTCTACACATCGCCCTCGACTTCGTCGGCGTCCAGCCGCGCTTGGCAGATTTCAAATTCATTGTTGGCCAGACACGACAGGTCTTTGTACAGTATAAGTTGGACGTTAAGGACCGTCGCGCAGGCAACTACGGCAATGTCGCCATCGCCCGAGGGGAGGGGCAGGCGCGCAGGCACTACTTCTCCTCCATTGACAGGTACGTTCCTCCACGCCGCCGCGACGCCTTGCTCACCTCTCCAGGTTTGATTTCCTCCTCTACGAGTTTCGCTTCTCGAATCGCCCCAATCCGACTCCGATCGTCCAGTTCTTCTTCCTCCCGGAGAGGATCCTGCCTCAGCGCTTTTACACTTTGCAAGAGGAAACCAACGAGGTCGATTTCGATACACCAGAGTTTCGGCGGTACCTTGTCTCCAAGGATCGCGAGGGTCGGTGGGTGGAGCGAGTTTTGGAGATCGTAGACGCCGAGCCGCGGCCCCGTTGGCCTGCACCGCGGCCTCATCGCGCCTCCGACTTCGACACGCCAACGTCCCGCCACGTACGGGCGTCGCTGCAATCGCTGCACACCCCAACCCCCCAAGCTTCACCCCCGCCCGCTAGGGCGAGATGGGTGCAGGAGAAGGAGGCCTTCCACTTCCGATTCTTCGACGCCATCATGGCGCAGTGCGCGAGCAGGTGGGTGCCTTCTCGATTGGTAGGGATATGCTGACGCGTCCAGGGCCTCGGGGCTTCTCATCGTGATGAGCGATGAACACCCCATGGGCGATTTCGCCTTCTGCCGGTACGAGTGGTCGGAGACGGAGCGCGAGGCGTACGCCCGTTCCCACAGACCTCCCATGGTCCTCCACCAGCTGCCGGCGGCTGCCCATCTCGTGATGGTGTACGCGTTCGCGAGGAGCATGGAGACTGACTCCACCGGTCCCTGGCTGTCCTCCGCCGAATTCCGCAGGGTCAACTCGTGCTCCACCCCCCGGCTCCTCCTGTTCGATCCCTTCGGTCCCGAAGACCACGCGACTTTCGGTTCCCTGTTTGCGGTGCCCTCCGAGGACATCGGCCCGTCCCCCCAACACATCGAAGCGCACAAGGACAACCTGGAGCCCGGCCGATCCCAGCCCTGGCGGCAGGCGAGGGTGCCCATGCTGTCGGACATGCTTGTCAGCGGATGCACCCTGGCGGATTACATGGCCTCCGCCACTGGGCCTCTGCTGTACGATGGCGGGGATGGATGGGGACACGCGTGGGAGCTTCTGGACCGGTTTGCGGGCACGAAACCGTTCACCTACCCAACCTCCCTCGCCCGACAGCCGGCTGGCTACCACGTTACGGTTCAGCAAGCACACCAGCGTCTCTTCGAGGAGCACTGCAAGGAGGTACGCAAGGGAGGTAGTGACTTGTAAGTCACGGATGACGTGGGCAACGTTGGCAAAAGCACAATCTACGGCAGCAAGCACCTCGTCGATGCGGCAGCCAGCCAACATGTTGCCGAATCCACAGACAGGCAAGCTGCTCTTGTTGAAGGGCGGAGGAGAGCAGAGGAGTGCTCATGACGGTTCCACACCATCTCCCCACCCAAGCAGGCACAATCCAACCAAAGAAGTTGGCCATGACGGGAAGGCTGTACATCTGTTGAATGGCTTGTCACACATCGGTACAGCTCGGTCATGAAGATCTTTTATCAGAAATGCAGACTTATCGAACTTCAACACCTACCACACCTACCACACCTACAACACCTACAACACCTACATTGCAAAAGCAGTCAACACATGCCTAGTTCCGCCCCCGACAACCAACGGCAGCTGCTGGCTCCCTCTTTTCCCATCGTCGTCTAGGTTTGGATACCTTGGCCCGAAAGCATCAGCGACATCGCCGATTCAGCAGCGGACGATTGTGTTTGCGACCCAGCCCGCAATCAGCTGACCCAACACCGTGACTGGCCTCTACAAACGTGAAGCTTAGTCCAGTGACCTGTAATATGTCACACGATCCCGGTGCAGGCAGTATAAAGGCCTAACGGTGTTCCCAGCGGTCTCGGCAAGAGCACCTCACACCATGATTTTCCCTGAATGGCCAGCCCTCGTCTCCGCTGACGTTAAAGGCGGGCACAATGTCCTTGTTATCTCTCAGTGCTCCTCTACACTGCGAGAGTTACTAGATATTATTACTAAGGATGGTGTCGTAGTGCACTACCTTCCACTCAATTTAACCATGGGTAACGCTGGAGTCGTGCTAGAAGCTCAACGACAGATGCTGCTCCGCCCGCAGTTCAGATTCCAGCACCTAATATGTTCGGGTGGCCCCCAGCGTATGTCTGATTTTAAAGAGTTCCTACGCTGCTGGAAACATTCCCAGAAGCTTGCTCCTAGCGCTGAGGTTACGGTACAACTGTTTCCACTCGAAAATGAGGTAGACTGGGTACCCATTACTCACATGTACGCAGTAGCAGCGGCAGCGGCTGGGTTTAGACTGATCAGAGTCAACGGGGTGGACGTTCAAGGGACCTCACAGGGCATCCAGAGCTGCTACGACCAGGATGACTTGCGAGCTCTTAAACATCGCACTCAATCAATAGTAAACTGCCTTGGGAGCTATGATTACCAGTCTAGAGTTTACAATCGAGAATACACCCACTTTGCAAACGAAGTGCAGTTTCTCGACTTTCAGGCACGGCAATCCCCAGGAGATATTGACGTGCCGTACAGCCTGGTGCGTTACGCTGACGGTACTGCACTATTTGGGACTTTCGTCGCAATCGCAGCAACAGACGGATAGGGGCGCGCGATCACAGCTGATCGTCTACAATCCAGGATTCGACAACCCCAAATCCCTACCAAGCTTGCAAACCACGCATAGATTCAACACAACTTACTTTCACAATACTTATTGCTGTAGGGTTAATGCGCGCGCTGTCATAAGAACCGATGCTGGCGATTGAAGTGCGGCGCTTGCCTTCTCCATGCTCTGGGGTGACGTGCGCGCCGCTGGTCGTTGAGCGATGCTGCCTAACGCGCCTTCCTCTCGCGCCTCCCTCCTGTGCATTCATCGTGGACACCATCAAGCACTCCACCCACTGCCCATGTCTCCCCCTATTCGACGACTATATGTACAGCTTTTGCCGCTGGATCCTCATCAATGAATCAACGCTTGCTTGGTCCAGCGGCTTAAGCTCCTGTGGTGTAATGGAAGCATCTGGCTCTCGCAGGCCTAGGATCTGGGTTCGATTCCTAGCTGGAGCGATTCTTTTTTTTGCTCCTGAACCTGAACCTGTCCCAAAAAAAGGATCGCTCCGTCTGCCTGCGCCTACAACGATTCCCGATCGTGCTTCATTCAACCTAATTGATCGCCACGAAGCTGATTGATCATGCCGCTCTAATTGATCATGCCGCTCATGCATACGTACACGTACACAATGGTAGGTGTGCAGGACAGCATATGGATTTGGCACTTCTTGAGGTGATAGACGATGGACGGGACGATGGAGCGCTACTACATATGTATCAACCTCACCACCACAAAAAAGTCGTGATTGCTATTTACAACTAGTTTTTCAGCTTCATTTTTACAATTGCGCATAAGATTTCAATGTTTTCTATTATCACGTGACTTTGGGATGACGGATTCACCTGTAGCCGAACCTTAGCATGCCTAACTCATTGTGGCGAAACCGTATCTTTACGACTATTTGCGTAGCCGTGTTCCTCACCTGGGGAATTTTCAATGCCCTCGAAACCTACCTTACGCTATTTTTCCAGGATGTCCAAGGTGTTGATCCTATGCAGACTGCCCTCCGCTTCCTCCCAACCCCCATTGTAGGAGCGTTGGTGAATATTTTCATGGGCATGTACTCACACAAATTCCGAGCTGATTATACTCTCATCTTTGGCGCGGTTCTCACTTGTATCGCGGCTCTGTTATTCTGCGTAATTCAGCCGGAGTGGATCTACTGGGCATGTGCCTTCCCTGTGGTGGCACTCAACCCTATCGGCGCAGATACGCTCTTCACGATTTCCAATCTTGTTATCACATCGGTTTTCCCGGAGCGCACGCAAGGTCTTGCGGGTGGTGTTTTCAACACCATTTCGCAGCTTGGAAAAAGTGTGGGCCTTGCGACCAGTGGAGTTATCGCAACGACTGTTACGGAGAGCAGCAGGTTCGAGCACAAGGAGAGCCCTGAAGCGCTGATGGAAGGATATCGAGCAGCTTTGTGGTTTAATTTTGCAGCGAGCGCAGTTACCATATTGTTGTTATGTTGGGGATTGAACGGCATTGGGAGAGTGGGTGCGAAGAGGGAGTAAAGTATAACTACCAGTGCGATATACAGGATGGTATGGGTGCATCAGTCCTTGCGACTCATAACGCTGTGCTACCTTTTTTGACTCTATAACGCACCGCACACGAAATAGTAACGGGTGAGAAGGATGGAACGAATACAACAAGGAGCTTCATGGAAAATGTAAGAACAGGTCATGAAGCACTACCCCACGACCCTGACCATATGATTAATCTTCAATTAAACACGACCAAAATTCGCGAGTAAAAAGTCAGATGAACTCGGTCTCAAAACGCTATGCCAAGTGGTGTCTCTATACAATTTGTACCCAGGAAAACGTACCAATACTCATCATTGGATAGAACAAAAAACATAGCATATCCAAAGTTTGCATAGAGGATCCTGGTATTCGAGTCATTGACTCAAGGTTGACTTTTGAACCAACAAATACACTGTACGATATTGCCTCTTTTCTAAGAGTCATACATTCTCGTCTACGCATCATATAACCCCAGTCTTTCTAACAACTTCCATCGACTTTCTACCCTCAAGCACTCTTTACTCTCGTTTATTCTACTCACTGTACGGCTGGAAATTATTCTCATCTTTCTCATAGCGACATATTGTATTTCAAGGCACTGCAAACACACAAAGTTGTTGATGTGGACGATACATATTGCGACTCTCATATTGGGGGTATCAGCGTCGCCAACCATACCCAAGGGGGAGCGTCCTGATGTACTCACTGGTTACAGAGTCAACCCAGTACGAGACCTACACCATGCGCGCAGCGGTATCATATGGAACACCGTGCAGAAATCTTCCCGCCCTCTTCATCACATCACGCGAGATGAAGGGGCAACATATGGCAACGTCAAAATAGTCAACAACTGTGGGAAAACATTATATATGGTGTCCGTAGGGTCGAGAAACCTAGGAGGCGACAATAGTACGGATCACGCGCCAAAGGACCTTGAGGTCATCTCACTACCACCGGACAACATCTATACGGAGCCCTACCGCACAGTTTGCTTTACACATCCATCGAACGCTTACTGTCCTGGCGAGGATAAACTCGGCGGACAAGGTGTCTCAATGAAGATTGCAGCATCCAATGACACCTGGACCCACGTTACCCAAATCGAATATAGCCTGGTGAAAAACACAGATCGAAAGGATAACTTCTATCGACTCAACTACGACATCAGTTTGCTAGACTGCGGCATACCAAAGTGGAACACGAGCGACGCAACTGCTACAAGCGCAGAACATCAACTCAAACTAGATAAATGTCCCGGGTACCAAGGTGGCATATCAGTCAATTTTGACAGTGATCCTAATCACGAAAATTGCATGCCCCTGCAGTGCGATGGGAAACAACGGTGCCCACAGATGTACTTCTGGGATCGAACACGAGGAGGCGAGGCATCTGTAGAATGTTCACGAGAATATCGTGGGGATATGAGGGTGGAACTGTGCGCAAATCGAGGAAAGAACGCCGCGAAAGATAAAGCTGCTTTCAGCAGCTACACAGCAACGGCTAACCACGAACTTATCATAGCTCAGCAAACTGCAGGCGACTATGACTCCGTGCCTCAAACACCTTCCACCACAACCTCCATCAATGCTACCCCTCCTGTGTCATCGGTGTCTACGGTCGTTACGACAACTCCCCTCATCAACGTTCCCCAATCTCAAAGTCTCACACCGAGTAATAAGACCCCAACCTCTACAGTCACAGAGTGTAATGGGAGCATGTGTTCATACGACTATAACGGTAGTTCAAAAACACCTGCCAGCCCTGGTCTTAGCACTTCCGCGATCCATCCCTCTTCGATTCCTGCTACAACAGCATCAGCACCCACAACAACACTCACAACGACCCCTTTGCAAGTCGTAGTCACGATCACGCAATACAACACGGTAACATCCACAATGCCTCAACACAACTCACTTTATGCCTCCAGCACCGCTCCATCTTCGCCGTTCCCCGTACCTTCAGGTTACACCTACGAGTTTTTTCCGACGTTGATCTCAACTTGGGTCCTTGTGCCTATCCGCACTGCCTCTTCGCCCTTCCCCACACCTACGAATCCGGGGGATACGTAGAGTGGTAATTGAAAGGCCTTGGTTGCCTAGATCGAGATTGACATCATACCAGTTCACCCCGGTGGAATTGGGCGGCTGATAAAGTTTCTTAAGTTGCGGTGGTAAATGTCGCCGCCGGTGGATACACACATGATTGTTAGAGTTAGTTGGGACTAGAAGGGAAGGAAAAGGAAGTATTGCATGGAGTTATCTGGGTTTGATTTGTTTATTGTATTTGCCTTTTTTTTTGTGCATGGTGTTATGTCTGCCGTTAAAACAACGTTTCTTTACCTTCTTTTCATTCATTGCTTGTATAGTTGCAAGCAATTTCCCTTCATTTGGACACTCTTCCCCAACGGTCTTGATTGGTTGAGACGACTACACGATCTTTCGGTTTTGCGTTTTGTATGTAGCTGGACAGCGTGATAATAATGAAATACGTCTAAAGAGATTAGTTCCAGAGCAGAATCCACCGTGACATTGAGTGAGTAGAGTCAAGTGATCGAATAAAAAAAATAACGACCGTGTCGAGGGTGAATCGTGAAACAGAATGATGAGAGTGGTATTCGATCTAAAAACAATGTGCGCAAGCAATCCCGAGGGTTATATGCAAGAGATCCAAGTTTCCCGAACGCCATTATCGTACCCAGCAGCCTCTTATGCGAAACCTGAAAACCCCCATGATAGATAGCCATCATACAGTCATCAATTCATCAACTATAGGGCATTCGCCTACGCCGCCGCCTGAACTACTTTGAAGCCATCTGCAATCAGTTTCTGAATCTCTTCATCCTTGTGTTGCAGTTGATTGAGCGTGAAAGCAACGTCGTTCCACGCTCTCTCATTCTCAGCCCTTGGCAACCTAGCGGCAAGCTTATTCGACAGTTGTTTCGCGTGTTTGTCCTACGTTTTGTTAGTGGTTTGTCTATAAGTAGAATAACAATCACAAAACGTACCTTTTCAATGAAGCCTGCCAAGAACTTGATGATCCTCTTGAATGCTTCAGCGTCTAGCGCACTGTCGGCACTCAATACACTAAACATGTCGACGAATTGATTGTAGACGGCATTGTCCTTGGTTGCAAGCTCAGTGAAGAACATGCGTGCCATATCCGCAATCTTTCTGTCGCTATCTTCCAGGCATTTTGCCATCTCACCCAGCTGGCCCTTGACCTTAACCTGACCGGCAAGAATCAAGAAAGTCAATGTCATCAGACAAGTGCGCTTGACACTTGGATCACCATCGTTAAGACGTCGATAAAGGAAGTCGGTGTTCTCGTCAATGAGATGGTTGAAACAGACAGCCATATCGCCCAGTGCAACAACAAGATTGCTCCGGACAACAGCATCTTTGCTTCGCTCCAGAATAGTGAGCAGTAGGCCGAGATTACCTTCGCAGTATTCGGAGCTAACACACATGAGCTTTGCTAGGCAGAGGGCGGCCTGGGCTTGTAATGTTGGATGGTTGTATGAAGTGTTGTTGGCACAGATATCGGCCACGAGTGGTCCAAAGTTCGACAGAAGTGACTGTTCACCGTAAAGCAGTTCACGCTCCCGGATTTGAGCGATCGCTTCAGTGAAATCGTCTTCCGTAGTTCCAGCCATGAGGTCAAGTTCATCGACTTCCTCTTCGGGGGCTGGGGTCTGCTCCTTCGCGGACTTTTTGCGACCCTTCTTTACAGGTGACGGATTCTCGGCGGCGAGTGATTTGCGTGGTGCAGGAGGGGCATTCTTCTCCTTCTCGGCTTTTCGTCGCTTGAATTCCAGCTCACAAAGTTCAAGGTGAACAATCTGTTTGATGGCGACATGGCCAACAATGAAAAGAAGTTGTGACAAAGCTAGTGCAGGATTCTGTTTCTTCTGAGGAGGTGCATCTGAT